AAAAGCTACTTTTATTGAAAAACAAAACTTTATTTAAAAATTTTATTCGATACCAAAACGAAAGATATAAAAATAGAAGTTGATAACGATTTGTTAGTAAATATAGGAGCAGACAATTACAAGACAAAAGACAAAACGTTTTAGCACACAAATAAAGTTTAATCAGTTAAAAATGTGTCTGTGAATGAGGAGCTTTATAAAATAATAAAACAATTCAAAAACATTGAATAATAACAATAAATTTGTTGTTAATAATAATAAAACAAATATAACACTATTAAAGACGAACAAGCGCAATGTAGTTGAACCAAAGTTTTTAAACCTAAATAGCAATGAGGTAGACCTTAGAAATAAAAACAAATTCTTAGGGATGTTTCAATAAGGTAACGTACGATGTTATGGGTAAATTTAAATAAGGTGTGTTATACTGTTCGGTTTCTAAAATACTACATATAGATTGATATTGAAAAGGTGATGTGTCATGCAAAATTTGAAAGTCACATTAATTTTTGAATAGTGCTACATGGAATTTGTAGACAAAGAAATTATATATTGTACAAAAGCGGGCACTGAGAACAATTCTTGGTTTAGAAAGTAGACTGTCTTGCAGAAGAAAGTTTAAATAATTCAAAATGTTAACAGCTACGGTAGGGTTCATGCAGCAATTTGTAATGTTAATTTTTAAAAATAGGTCCCTTTTTGCCACAAACTGTTTTAGGATTCCTCATCTTCGATTTACAGCGCCTCATTATGGAAGATTGTAAGTGTTGATATTTTTGACACTCTTTAAATAGTTTTCGATGTTGCTAGAGCCCGCAGTACCCTCATTAACTGTAAAAAATACGTAAACATAACTTGTTATTACAAAGTGCCAATCATTTAAAAAATACCCTGAAAAGTGTTGGAATGTTTTCAAACAGACTTTAGACTAGGCACAAAAATGCAAGACACCCCATTAAGCCGATTTCGTATTTCAGAGTTATTGCGAATTTAGGACAAGCCGTAGAAACTACTAAATCCCTCATTCGGGTCATGCGGTTACATATTCATAACACATTAAACCCGCCAAAACAACGTGATCTTTAGCGATCGTCCTCTTACATGCAAATTGGTAATTTGTATAGAGCGTAGAGCGTAAGATAACAATAATAAGCTTTCCGCGTTATTATTTAGGTCGCCTAATAATGTTTCGAGTTGGATCCATTAAGGATGGCCTTAAATGGATATAGGCCCACGGTTAATAAAGGTAATTTAGCAGTTTGATTTGAAAAAATAAAAACAATTACTTACAAAATCATTTAATATATTAAGGTGAACAAGTGGAAGAAGTATTGAAATTTAAAAAAAAGAGATTTTTAATGTAAACGAAAATTTTCCATTGAAATGGTATTTATTAACAAATTTTTGAGACCCGTAATCCCGTACCTCTCATAGTGCTATGAATAATTGTTGAAGTATTTTAGTTCTCGGGTCCTAAGTGTGAGACTAAGCCGTAATTAACAGGAGTAAGAGCGATAGAATTAATGTTTTTTTTTTTTGATGTATAGAACTTTAAGTTGGCATTGATTTATTCTCAGTTTGATTTGGCAATTCATCATAAACAGACTCACGCCTGAACAACGCTTGCAAATAGTGCAATTTTATTTCGAAAATAATGGCTCTGTGCCGAATACGTATCGCGCACTACGTCCATTTTATCGTCGACAAAATCGTCCATCAGAGCAGTTAATTCGATTAACCATGGAACGTTTTCGCACCAGGTTTACTCTATCTTATTGATAACTCGCATCCCCAGAGACGCCGTACGGTGCGTAGAGAAGAAGCTATTGCTGCTGTAGAGCGTAGCATTGAGGAAGACCCGAATGAGTCCATCCGCCATCGAGCACAGGAATTGGATCTGTGTCCATCCACTTTATGGAAGATTTTGCGGAAGGATCTTGGTTTACGTGCTTACAAAATCCAACTCGTGCAAGAATTGAAGCCAAACGATCATCAAGTAAGGCGTAGATTTGTCAAATGGTCCCAAAACGAGATTGCCGTTGTTCCCGATTTTCATAAGCGAATTTTGTTTAGCGATGAAGTGCACTTCTGATTGAATGGCTACGTCAACAAACAAAACTGCCGCATTTAAAGCGAAGCTAATCCTCAAGTGTATGTCGAAACACCGTTACATCCAGAAAAACTGACTGTTTGGTGCGCTTTATGAGCTGGTGGAATCATTGGTTCGTATTTCTTCAAAAACGATTATGGTCAGAACGTTACAGCCAATGGTGATCGGTATAGAGCTATGATTAATAACTCTTTCATTCCTGAATTGAATAACCATGATGTCCAGGAGATGTGGTTTCAACAAGACGGCGCAACATGTCACACAGCTCGTGCCACAATCGATTTATTGAAAGACACGTTTGGTGACCGCCTAATTTCATGTTTTGGACCTGTGAATTAGCCTCCAAGATCTTGTGATTTAACACCGCTAGACTACTTTCTGTGAGGCTATGTAAAGTCATTGGCCTATGCGAATAAGCCACAAACGCTTGACCATTTGGAAGACAACATTCGCCGTGTTATTGCCGGTATGCGGCCACAAATGTTGGAAAAAGTCATCGAAAATTGGACGTCCAGATTGGACTACATCCGCGCCAGCCGTGGCGGTCATATGCCATAAATCATATTTAAAATGTAATGCCACAAGATTATCTTTCGGATAAATAAAATTCATGTCAATCGAATAATCCATCGTTGTTTTATTGCAACTTAAAGTTCTATACATCGAAAAAAAACACCCCTTAGTTAGCAAAGCGAAAGAAGTATGGTGATTTTATTAATCTCGCCTTGTTGAAGCTTTCATTTGTGTACTTTCATCTTAAACACACTCTGTGTTGTTAATACTGTCAGATTTGTTTTAAAAACTTATATTTATCGTGAGGCCTTTTCCATTCAATATTACCGAAGAAATGTTGTTACCATTATTAATTTTACATATCAAATTATTTATTTGGGTACCACACAGTTTTTACCATTCCAGAAACATATTTTATTAAATTTACACTTAATTTTACAATATATTTGACAGATAACACCTATCCACTTTAGATCTTTTCTTTTGGTATAAATGTTATTAATTCTCATATGGTAGTTGGGCTATATGTAATAAATAATTGCTACAAGTATAGCCAAAACAATACTATTAATTCTTAGTTGAAGCTTAAGGATTAATAGTCGCCCATACAATACTGTATTTATTCCAGTATCTTGCGGTAAAATGATAGGTACTATTTGGGATGTTAATAAAAACCAAATTACATAAAGCAAACATTTTTTTTTTATTATTTTTGCCATTTAGGAATGTTATTTTTTTAAAATGATGTCTTTTAAATGATGGCCATTATTGTCGATGCACTCTTGTAGGTTCTCGCGGAAGCGCATCATTACCCGATGGATCATTTCTTGGGAAATTGAGGCAATTTCTTGTCTTATGGCTGCCTTTGATTCTTCCAAAGTCCTCGGACGATGTGTGAAAACATCAGGTGAACGTGGCGGCCAGCCAAGATCACCCCGTAAAGACACCACTTTGTTTAGGAACATTTCTTGAAGAAGATTTAGTGAACGACGCGTTGTGTGCGATGTAGCACCAGCCTGCTGGAACCAAAGATATTCTCTTTGATCGTTGTTCAACTCGTTCACTTTTGGACGCAGGAAATTGTTAAGCATATCAAAATATCGATCTCCGTCGACTGTTACCGTTATTCCATCTTCTTTGAAAAAGTAAGGACCCCGCACGCCGAACTCCGAGATTGCACACCAGACGGTGACTTTTGGACTGTGAAGAGGTCGCTCATGAAGTTCCTGTGGACTATTTGCTGACCAATAACGGAAATTTTGCTTATTTACGGTACCCGAGAGGTGAAAGTGAACTTCATCGCTAGACATGAATACAGCGCCTCTGGGAATGTTTTGAAGAATATCCCGGCATAAATTCGTACGGGTTTCAAAATCTCTTGCGCTTAATTCCTGCACTACCATCATTTTGTACGGATGCATTTGGAGTGAGTTGTGTAAAATTCTTCGAACACTTCTATCGGGAATTTCCAAAGCAGCTGCATGCTTACGAGCTGAACGCCTGGGAGACTGTTGTACGGAAACTCTTACTGCATTCACATTTTCCGGTGTTCTTACTATCCTTGATCGGCCAGTAGATTTTCGGTTAAGCGCAGAACCTGTTTCCCTGAAGTGCAAAACCCACCGACGAATTGTTCTTCTATCCGGAAGCGCGCCATGCCGACCAACATCAAACTGATTACGAAAGGCGCGCTGCGTCGCTAATACAGATTTCCCATTTCTAATAAACTCCTCGACAACGAAAGCCCTTTGCACTCCGCTCCAAACCATGTCGATAACTGAAAATTGCACACTTTTGTTTGCCTAAGGCGAGTGCGTACACAGTGTTGCCGGTTTTACAAACAGAACAGCCACTATTTGAAATCCTGCCTACCTTTTTGCCGCACCCTGTATTAGGATCACTTCAGTGTTGACCTAGTTAATTAGGTGTGGTATATCTGTAATGTTGTACTCAAACTCTCCGTTTGAAAAGTCCGGCACTTAAAATAATTAACCAGACGACGTAGCAACAAAATTAATTAAAATTGTAATAACGTATTTGTAATAAATTAATTATGTAAAAAAGATTTACAGTGTCTGCGTTACACTTCTGTGTAATATACTGAAATTAAATGAATTGTCTTAAAAATAAAGAGAGAACGATAACCCTATTTAGTTCCAATATTTGTTATCGTCTCTTATTTTTTGTCTTTTTTATTTGTATCTATTAAATTGGAATCGGCATCAATTTCTATTCAAAAATCAGAAGGTTTTATGAAATAAATTACAGCTATAATTGGTAGAAAATATCCTAATACCCCCAACGTACAGTTTGATATATTACTTCACTTGACTTAAATTACTAAACCAACTTAAAATCAACTTTTTTCTTCTTGCAGAGCGTTGCAATGAGCCGCTGGGCATGGAATCTGGGAAAATTCCAGACGAAGCCATCACGGCCAGCAGTTCGTACGTTCCAAACGTGGGACCTCGCAATGGCAGGTAATTTTAGTTAATAGTTTTCATCTTTCATGCCACTTCGTGAGAGGCAAAGTCACGAACAGTCGTCATCCAGTTTCATGTAGATTTCCGTTCGACCAGCGGACTTCTGTTAAATTTCAAAGTGACCCGTTTATTTTGATGTGACTTATTATTGCGCTGCTTGTTAGACAACGTAGGGCCAAACGGCAAGCGTATTTTAAAGTTTCAATTATCTCATTTCGGTAAGCAACTTAATAAATTGTCCCAGAGAACTAGCGATGTTTTAAATCACTATTATAATTACAAAAAAAAATTAAAACGTTTTTTGCAAGTCGCCAGTCGCGGAAAGTTTTCCGCTCTTTGTTTTGGAGAAATTGCTCTCAAAATGATGTAACGCTTGATAAGGAAATGAGTGTCATGCTGTGCAAAGTTGTGCGTCAATAAGGTTTCATATTTTGCAGTTCTTTGTTTTAACCAGAAGTGTATATTTACTCGAATTGGTAAACTGACTTGCAATGTTGAGCGTGCACAAAACATATATTCCTTTTAGTTTCAATAAAAAATAATAAGCATGATGGTGCTATTTTTCTGTAGTTAAAAGCGTAAATACACCAAGCCAAGACGCACTTTCCACCTGTCAGTGCCAACATATGTTGAACATATTAATGAATTAGAAAACTGACACATTATGAAAAATTAATATAATCCTTTTTTATAATGTATTGCCCTCTCGAATAAGCGTATTAGCCTTAAAAGGGAAAAAAATGTTAATTCATTTGTGTTCGGGTGATAGACGTACTTTCGGCGCTCTTTTATTGAAGCAATGATATTAAGGTATTACATTTTCGACATTTTGGAATTATGTTTTCATTAGTTAGTATGAAAATGGAAAGGTGATATGTTATTTCTTACTATGTCTTTTTACGTATCTGTTCTTTTCAATTGAGTAACTGCAGAATTACAAAAAAAAAACTTCCAATTTTTGAAAATAATATCAAAGCCTCACGTAGGCTTAAAAGTTATTCTTATAAAATAAAATAAAATATTCTTTAAACTCTGCTTAAAATTGCTGACCGACATGACGGCATCCATCACGAGTCTAGAAGCAACACAAAAAAGGACCTCGACAAATTGGTACACATACACAACGGCATGTAGCATGTTCCAATTATTGTCGTCCACGCCAGATGGATACGCTCGCATTATGTAAATTTTTAAGTGACCACCGACATCGTCCGATTGATATTACGTCAATGTCCACAGTCAGTTGCTGTCCAAAGGGACGCTATCTGCGACTGGTTCAATTTAAACTGCATGTGTACACATGCAATCATTATGGGGGTTTCTAATTAATAACGGCTCTTAATTGAATCTAGTTCTGTGTGCTTGATTATGCGCTCACTTCTCAACACCCGACCGGTCCATCGTGACGCGCGGTTTTGCCCCAAGTACTAGTACGGCGATTATCAGAAGTGGGATGATATAAGCCGTTCGGCATTTTGTGGTGAGACAATTAAAAAAAATGCGGACAAAATTACATTTTTTTATTTAATTTACATTGTTACATTTACATTTTCTAAATATAATAAACATGAAAGTATGGTAAACAGTGCAGCATTGCTTCATTACTAACAAAAAAAAAACAAAATGTGGTGTATAAATAATTTTAAAAAGTGCACTGTCTCTAAATGCGTCTAAATAATTTTGATTTAAAAAAAGAAACTAATAATATCAAAGAATAATACTACAAAAAAGAAAAATGTTCAGAATATTATGCATTTTTTAATTTCTATCAGGTAACCAACTGTCAATTCAATATGCAGATTTGGTGTTTTTTTGCATATTATGTTACACGTCATCAGAATGTGGATTTGGTTCATTTATAAAATAATTTGTTAGAAATCACTTTTTGTGGGGAAATTTGAATTGTCGTGGGTCTTCAGTTCTATTTGAATCCTCGTTTTTAATTGCACACACCCGATATTCGTAATTGTTCATGTCACTTCGCTGTATTGCATTCTAGTGAAAGTGTATTCAATAATTTCTTTACATATTTACAACTGAAGCAAGAACAACAAAACAGAATCTAAATCAACGATAATTACAAACAACATATTACGAAATTATACTGGACAATGTAGAAAAGGTAAAATAATGCAATCAATCAATGTTGAGAGAGAAATATTGAGAAAAGCCAAAAAAAATTTATGTGTGTAAAAGGAAAAGAAAGGCAAACCTTCTGTATACGTATTCATTCATTCATTCCGGACAAGCATTATTAACAATTTGTTACTTTAAAGAATAAAAAAATTTCCCGCGCTAACCCGAGCACAAAGCACAGAACACACGGATTAATAGAGTAGGCACAACTGTCATTTAAATTAAAACAATTATGTATGTATATATATATATATATATATATATATATATATATATATATATATATATATATATATATATATATATATATATATATATATATATATATATATATATATATATATATATATATATATATATATACATATATATATATATACATATATATATATATATATATATATATATATATATATATATATATATATATATATATATATATATATATATATATATATATATATATATATATATATATATATATATATATATATATATATATATATATATATATATATATATATATATATATATATATATATATATATATATATACATAACTAATAATAATATGTAATAATAATAATATAACTAATAATAAGTAATAATTACAAAATGGAAAACAAGGAATTAAATTTATTGGGGTGGTAGCAAATTGTCGAATGTTCAAATTGAAGAAAATCCCGAAAGGCAGAAGGGGTGCTTTGTAAGAGCGGATTTTTTTTAAACTTATTTCAGACCTCTAAACAGTTAACAATAAAACTAGCCCTGAAGCCTTACAAAAACAGTAAGAGAAAAAATATGTACATTATTCTAGTAAAATGAAATATAATAATATAGTATTCTATTTTTTTTTATAAAGCCTTTAAGGTTATGACACATTTTCTTGGTAGTGCCCTTTAATAGAGTTTGTGGTATTTTATTAATCACTTGAATGCTTCTGTATATTGACGAGTCTTGTTTCTTTTTGTTCCTTGCATATACATTTCTTAACTTATCGTTGTTTCTTGTGCTATAGCTGTAACACTGTCCATTTCCAGTCAATTTCACATTTGTTTGAATCAGTTTGTTTTGATTTAAGTAAATAATTTTGTTTGTTCTAGTATCTCAAGTTCACATATTTTTAAATAAAGTAGATTTGTGTAGATTTCTTCATTAGATATATGAAAGTTCATTCCAAATATTACTTTAGGTGCTTTATTTTGTAACCTTTGTAATTTATTTAGCGGTGCTATGCTGGTGTTTCCCCAGGTATCTCAGGTGTGGCTCTACGAAGCTGTTGTAAAGCAGCTGTCTTGTTTTTTGGTTGAGTTGATGCCAACATCTTTTTATTGCACCTGGCATTGGTACAGTTTTATCAATTAGAGTCTCAATATGTTTATCCCAAGTTAGATTTTCAGAGTTAGTTATGCACTCTTTTGAGTGCCTCTTCATTTATTTTTACATTTAGGTTACAAGGTGCTTTTCCCTTCTGTTTTTTGGAAGTCTTTAAGGAAAGTCTGTTATAGCACATCCACTCAAAATGTTGCTGTAAATCTTTATTAGCAAGTTGCTGAAGTTGTTCCGCACAATCACCCCACTAAACTAATGCAGTGTCATCAGCAACTTTGAAGTACCTTGCGTTTAAGTTTGCATATTTTAGGCTTTGTACATATAGCAAATACAGTAGTGGCCCTAATACTGCTTTCACTATTTATTGTTGTACAGTGCTCTCTGGCTGTGGAATAAGATTTAATCAAGTGGTAGCACACCCCGCCAAGTCCCATTCGCTCCCATCATTCGGGATTTTCGACAATTTGTGGTGTTCCCAATTTATTTGCACATATCGGAGTTGAATATGAAATACTGAAAAAAACGATTCTACCTATCTTGCTGGTGTTTTGAACATTGCAGGATATGTGTGGGCAAATTATTATTCTAAAGTCTGACAGGACCTTCTTGGCGTGTTAACTTCATGGATTCCTTTAACGTGGCAGATACCCATTACTTAAACATGTTTCGAACTTGGATTTAACAACGTCGAAATCTGATTTGACCACAATAGGCGATTCCAACCGGGCTCGTTGCTCTGTCTGCCTAAAATGAAGCGTCGACAAAGATGCAACGAAAACTGTAGAAATACTTGAGACAGATTAGGAAATTAAACCGAACGGCAACTCGAGGAGGGTCCTCCACGAGTATTAGCAATTCAAATGGGATTTTTAACAACTTGGGAGCAATTCGAGCTTATATTTATTCTCGTCTGGCATAACGGCCGGCGGGAAAATAATTGGGAACCACAATCTATTTAGTTACATCTAAACTGATGTTTCCATGGCATTTTAAAGAAGTTTGGCAAACGTATGTAATAAAAAAAACCGAAAGGCCAAATAACATCTTTAGCTCATACTAGTCCCATTCAAATTTAATAAATTATAAATGTCCAAAAAAACAATAAACATTCATTCATGTACAAAATTGTATATCTCGAGGCGTGTGAATATATCATATTTCTGACGCTGTCTACTTTTTGAACTCATTTTCGATGACATTATTAATAAAGGACTACGTAAAAGTACGTGAGTGAATTATTTATGAATTGTAGCAGCAGGAGTAAACAGTTCTTGTGAAACTGTTGGTGACATCCATCGATAATGATAAATAACTTAGGTCTTTATTTTCCCGAATACAATACGTAACTATATAAACGAAGGCGACGATATTGGCAAATATACCCTTTTTAGAAAATTTTGGCAGAATTATAGCTAACGGACCATGTATATTGGAATCACAAATTGGTTTGTATGAGGATTAGATCAGCTATGAAGAGACCTTACCTTAAGAGTAATAAAAAGCGAGCTTCTTATTGCAACGGTATCCAA